GCCTCGAGAACTGACGTTAAAGTGGGATCCCAGGTTCCCAAGCACGTGCTTCGAGGGGCCGGGCGGCACCCATGTAAGTTTCCAGAGGGCGCAGATCCCGCCAACTATACAGGCCCCCCAGCCGGCCCAGCAGCACATCACCAGCTGATGGTCGAGACAGTCAACTGCACGGCCTGGACCTCGATTAAGTCCTGGGTCCAGAGATCCTCGGCGCAGGTCCTTCTGGTTCAGGAACATCGTCTTCTTTCAGGTCCCGACTGCGACGAGGCATCCCAGTGGTGCTACCATCAAGGCTGGAAGAGCAAGTTTTTGAAGGCGGAGTTCGCTTCTGGGGGTGGAGCTAGTGGAGGGGTCGCCATCCTGGTCCGTAACTATCTCGGTTTTCGTCTCCCCGATTTTGGTGCTGAGCTTTTTCCTGGACGTGCTGTGGCTGGTGTTGTGGAGGTTCCTGGGGGTTCTCCCACGTTGATGGTTAGCGCGTACTTCGGGGACAGCGAGGGGTTGTCTCAGAGGAACCGAACTATCTTGGCCTCCATCGGCAGTTGCGCGCACGGTTTCGGGGACTCTTGGCTTGTGGGTGCAGACTTCAACATGTCGCCCTCCGCCCTCCAGTCCAGCAACTTTTTCGAGCGCACGGCTGCTAACATCATCTCTCCTTCATCGTGTACGTTTCACGGAGGCAGAGGAGCCAGCAGCATCATTGACTTTTTTATGCTCTCGCCTGGTCTCAGCAAGTGCGTCCAGAAAATAGAGGTGCGCACTGACTCGGATGTGAAGTCTCACTCCCCTGTCAGGCTCACCTTTCACGAGAGCCCCGCGGAGCTCCAGGCCCTTAGCTTCATGAAGCCCCCCAAGATCCCCATAGAGCAGCCCATTGGACCACCTGCTGAAACCAGGTCGGCAGATCAGGTGTTGGCGCTCGCTCAAGGCGGTCTGGCGGCGCTCAGAGTTAACCCGAAGCGCAGGCAGGTCCAGAAACACCTCAATAAGCTTTACCAGGAGTGGGCGGACCTCGCCGAGCACGAGGTGGCGGTGTCCAGATTTGTGACCCTCCCCAGGTACGGTGCCCGGGGTAAGGTTCCGAAGCTGATCTGGGTCTCCGTGGCGGACTTGGACTCCGCGCGTAGCAACATCAAGGATCCCGACCTTTACGCCTTCCGCTGGCTTGTGAGGGAGTTCCGAGCGTTCTTGGGGGAGCTGCAGCACTCGAGGGCTCTTGGGGTTCACGGGCAAGCACTCCTTACGCCTCCGGCCACGGTTGCCGATCACCTCAACGCTTGCCAGGACGATTTCCTCCGGGTGGGCGCCTTTCTCATTGAAGGCGAGATTGAGGTTTCCTGGGACGTCGACGTCGGTTGGGAGCTGCTTTCCGAGCTCGAAACTTCCCTCGGTAAGTTTTCGGCGGCGGCCCGAGACCGCAGTTTTAAAGACTGGCAGGCTTGGCTCCTTGACGGCATCACTAAAGGAGGAAGGAGGGCCCACGGGTGGACTAAGGAGTGCAAGCCTTGGACGCCGACCACGACCCTGTCGAAGCACGGCCACCTTGTGTCCGACCCTCTCGCCCTGTTGGAGACAGAGGCGGCCCGTTTTGCAGGTCTTTGGCAAGCAGACAAGGAGCCAGACGTCATCGACAAGCCGCTGGAGATTCTTGAGCCCCTTGAGATCCTTACGGCCGATGACATTCGTATGATTAGTCGCTCCTATTCCACTGCCACGGCCATCTCGGTTGACGGGTTCCACATGCGCCATTATGCTAGCATGTCGGACGGCTGCCTGGAGGCTTTCAGTATTCTGCTCCAGCTGATTGAAGCCACGGGCCTTCTTCCATACCACTTGCAGGTGTTGCAGATGGCGCTTTTAGCCAAGCCCCAGGGGGGCTTTAGGCCTATCGGCCTTTTCAGTTCGGGGTACCGGCTCTGGGGAAGGGCCCGTCGTAAGTTAGCTTCCTCGTGGGAGCTCGCGAATTCTCGGAATTATCTGGCGGCCGCGGCCTCTAATGGGGCCTCAGATGTGGTATGGAGGCAGGCGCTTCGCAGCGAGCTAGGAGTTCGTGAAGGCAAAGCGGCAGCTTCCGTGCTCTGGGATTTGTTCAAGTTCTACGAGGGCATGCATTTGCCGCTGGTCGAGGCCCGGGCCAAGCAGCTAGGTTTTCCATCGCAGATTACGCGAGTTTGTATGACGGCCTATCGTGGAGCTAGGTTCTTAACGCTCTCTACTCTGTCTGTGGGGCCCTATTATTCGATACATGGAGTCGTTGCGGGCTGTTCGATGGCCACCACCTTCGTGCGGATTTACCTTATACCCGTTATCGACCCGCTCCCCATTCCTCGGGATGTGTTCTTGGACATTTACATAGACGACTATGGAGTTAGTTCGGTCGGAACGGAGTCGTCTGTCAGCATAGGCCTTAAAGAAACCACCACTATGCTCATGACCGCAATTCATACTGATATGCATTGCAGCGTTGCTGAAGACAAGGCTTCTGTCATCGCGTCCACTCCTTCGCTAGGCCACAAGCTCGTTCAGTTTTTGGGCCGATTCGCAGGAGGTCCTGCCAAGGAGTCGGCGGTGAATTTGGGGATCGACGACGCTGCAGGGAAGGCTAGACGCTCCGGTAAGAAGGGCAAGAAGTGGACATCCAGGGCCAGAACCTTAAAAGCCAGGGTTAAGAGATTCAGGAAATCCAGGAAGGCTCTCGGGAAGTGGTCGCGGAAGGTCTTCATTGCCGGACCTTTAGCAGGAGCCACTTTCGGAGCGGAGGTCCACGGCACCTCCGACCACGAGCTCAAGCTGCTCCGCCGATCTTTCGGCAAGTGTGTCAAGCCCTCCGCAGGCTCGCGCAGCCTCACGTCGCTCACCATCTTAGAGCACGACCCGTGCTACTACGCGGCGACGGCGCCGATTTTGAGATATGCGAAAGAGGTCTGGCTCACCAGTGCTAGGCAGTACGCGTTTTCGGTCCCCTTCCCGGTTCTGAGGGCGTCCTGGGACTCGGCTTTTGGAGGTCCTCCGATTTCTTGGAAGAAAGTGTCTGGACCTCTTTCGGCGGTTAGGGCTTCCCTGTCAAGGATCGGGTGGAACATGATCGATTTCACCACCATTGTCACGGACCAGCAGGTGTCCTTAGGTCTGACCAACACCTCCCCCAGGATGCTCAAAAGGTTTTTGAGGGAAGGAGTCATTCGTCACCTTCAGAAGCTGTCGGGAGCTGCTCTTGGGATGGGCGCAGACAGGGCATGTTACGACATTGTCCTCCAGGAACTTCAGAAGAAGAAGTGGTCCAATTTTGAAAAGGGTTGTATTCGCAGTCTAGTATGTGGAGCTTGCTGGACTAAGACCAGGGCCACAGATGCGGGTTACTTGCTTGATGACAATCTCTGTCCCATGTGCGGTGCTGCGGAAGATACTATGCATCACCGTCTGTGGAAGTGTCCGGCTGTTAGTGAACAGCGGCTAGATGTAGTGGACGATGAGTTGATCGCCCGCGCTGGTGCCATCACTCCCGACAGCCCAGATTGGAATCTGTTCACCAAGGGCATCTTTCAGCATCCTGGCGAGTCTGTACCAGGGCCAGTGGCTGGAGGCGGTATGTCGGTGCAGTGGGTAGACGACCCAGACAACACTTCTGCGAACATCCAAGGGCACATCTTCTTCGACGGGTCAGGTCTCAAGAGCCCCATCAAGGAGATGTCTAGGGCCGGCTGGGGGGCAGCGGTCTACGACGATCAACGGCAGCTTTTGTGCACTCTTTCGGGTCCCGTTCCCAGTTTTCTCCCCCAAACCTCCCAGGCTGGTGAGTTCTGCGGTTTAGGGGCCACCAATGAGCTTCTTTGTGGGCCCTCGACGGGTTACTCCGATTGTGCCAATGTGGTCCTCGCGTTTAACTCCCCTGCTCCCGTGCAGGTCTCTTATAAGAAGCTCTACGCGGGAGCCCTTTTAAACATGTCGAATAGTATGTACTCACAAGTCCACAAAGTAAAGGCTCATGTTGTGGACGATGGCTCGCTTTCAGCCGACGGGCTTTTCTATAAGCAGGGCAATGATCAGGCAGACAAGGCGGCCAAGAAAGGTGCTTGGAGCCATCCCAGGGCTTCACCTAACGAGTTGCAGGTGATCGACGATAAAGTCGCGGTTGCCCGCAAGGTCTGTGCCTTGGCCGCCCGACTGATGCCTCTCTGGCCGAGACTTGATCTCGATGGCGTTCCTCGGACTCCTCATCCTCCTCGCCCCAAGGCGTCGAATTCGACTGGTATTTGTCACGAGTGGCTGTGGTGCCGCTCGTTTTGGAGATGCCAGCGCTGTTTGAAGAGCCGGCGTTGTGAGCAGAAGCCTCCGATCGAGAACTGTTCTGGTGAGCTGCCCGCTGTTGCCCTCGCGATTGGGCAGCGTAAGCACTCGCTTAAGGTCTTCTCCTGCACCGACGGTACGTTGCTATACGCCTGCTCCAGATGCAAGGCATATACAACAGGAGGCCAGTTCCGCAATCTTGCCAAAGATTGCCTTACAGATGCTGATTTCAGACGTAAGAAAGCGATTTCCAATTTTGCCGCTTCAGCTTGGAATAAGCTTCTGAAGGGTAAGCATCCCAAATTGGACCACGTACAGGTGGAGCCATTCAACTTTTTGCTCGCTTGATTGTGGGCAGTGCAGCGCTGGTGAAAAAAAAACTCCCCCCCCTTCTCCTCCTCCTCCTCCTCCGAAAGTCTGGGATGCCCATGGAATCATGCAGGCAGGCCAATGACCCGCAGACGCAAGCACTGTTTGGCGACAAGTTTCGGTGATCCGCCCAGATTTCTCGGATCGGCGCCGGGCCCCCCTGGCGGCGCCTGTGGCGCCGCCCTTGGCGCGCTCCGCGCCCCAGGGAGGGGGGTCTGCGCGGACATCCGATATGCTATGCTCATGCGTTTTTTGTTATGCTAGAGGAGGAGGTGGGAGGTTTGATGATAATTGTTTTGGGTGTCACATTGGGAAGGAGAGAAACATGCAGAGTGCAGAGCCAGGTTGACGTCGCGAAGAAGCAGATCAAGGTGTCGCAGCTGGAGCCCCTGAGCAATCAGAAGGTCAACGCTGAACTCTCCAAGAGGACTCGGGTGACCATGCTCTCTCATGTAGTCTGAGGTATATGTATTGCCGATTGTCTCTACCCTTGTACTTGAAGCAGGGTCAGTGCATATTAGAAGGAGTGCGTTCACATGACTGCCACATACCCAGAGAAACACGTATTTCAGTCGTTCAGTCGTTGTTCATGATTCCAGCCCCAGTGTTCGTGTTGATATTATTTACGACTCAGAACCAGAGCATTCGTAACTTAAGCAGGTCCTTCGGCTTTCATGTACCGTCAGCATCGTACGGAATGCGTATGTTAACTTTCGTGTCGGGCTCGAATTCTCTCAGGGCGGGATTGGTGTGGCGGGCGAAGTTAGGGAACTATGTCCTCACCCTTGCGTGTTAGATGGTATCGGCGATGCCGCTGACTTCCCTTATGTCGCTCGTAGCTTCAATGCCGGCCGCGTGTTCGCCGCACCGCGAACCAACGCCAAGCGACGGGAAGCAGTGCGAGACATCCACGCGGGTGGAGTCAGCCACGCGCAGAGTGGGATGGGGGGAGGGGGGAGGGCTTCTTAGAAGCACCTGCTTGGTCAGAAGGCGCGGGCCTCATCTGCAGATGGGCCGGCGCCTTCGGAGAAGCAACCCCCCTCCGAGAAGCCCTCCCCCCCCTCCCTCCACCGCCGTGTGCGCACCGCCAGCGGAGGTCCGGGCTAGAGCGGCGGCTCTCCCGCCCGGCCCACACCTGGTCAGCACCGGTAACTGGACCCCTCCCGCGGTCCACCCCGACCCGCGTCTCCTGGCGGCGAGCAGCAGAAGGGGGTAGGGGGAGGGGGGGGGGGGGAAGGCTTCTTAGAAGGAGGCTGCTTCTTAGCAGGCGCCGGCCTTACACTGCAGGCTTCTATAAGGAGCAGGGGTGCTTCTGAGAAGCCTTCCCCCCTCCCCCTGATTGCCCCCCTCTGCGCGCCGCCAAGTCTCGAGGCGGACCCAGCTGCGGCGACGAGGAGCGTCTGGAAGAGTCAGGAGGGGAAAAAACACACAGACACAATTAATCGACGATCCCCAGGAAAATATGGGAAAATATGGAAAGTGGGGGGGAAGACAAAAACGCAGAAAATTTGGGAAAATATGGGGAGTCTTTTTATTTGTGTGTATTTATTTGTGTGTCCTGGGGCCCCTTGAAAGAGGCCCAGGGAGGACGGGGAACGCCAGGGAGGGCCGCCCCTGCCGCCGACCGGCCCTCCACCGAGGGAAGCGCTGCGAGGTGTCCACGCGGGCACGCAAGCTCGCGACAGGCAGCCCGACCACCACAGGGCCCCACGGGCCCCCTCCATAGTTTAAAACGACGCGAAGATCGGGACCAAATCGGATCGGGATAACTCGAAATCTCTGAGAATCGGCGGGTTTGGAGGATGTATTGGGCGCCGCGGCCGCTCCAGAGCGTTCCGGAACGCTCTGAGAGCGCTCCGGAACGCTCTGGAGCGATTTATCCCGATCCTAGCCTTGTTTTACAAGCTCGCGACAGGCAGCCCGACCACCACCGGGCCCCACGGGCCCCCTCCATAGTTACAGAGGTCATCCAGGCAGTCAAAGGTACTGATACCACGACACTTCCGCCACTGCCACAGCCGGATTCGCCTGGAAGTCATTGGTCAGAGCGCACCCCAGGAGAGGTCCGCAGAGTAACGGTATTGGCACCTGCTTGTTCTCCCAATCATTGAACAGGGCCTCATCGGCCTGGAGCGGGGGCTGCACCCGCTCTAAAGGTCTGGGCCCAGCCCAGTGAGGAAGAGGAGCGGGGAGGGGGAGAAGGAGGAGGGATAGGACGAGTCAGAGGAGTCAGAGGAGGAGGAGATGGAGGAGGAGGAGGAGGAGGAGGAGGAGGAGGAGGAGGAGGAGGAGGAGGAGGCGCAGGAGAGGCAGGGAGGAGAAGGGATGGCGATGGAGAGGAGGATGGGAATGGGGGGGGCATGGGAGGCAGAGGAGAAGGGGCGGCTCAGACGCAACAGCTGGGCAGCAACACGTGCCCGTTCGGCGCAGTGCAGAAAGGGGTCGAGGTACGCCCCTGTGGAGGCTCGGTGTGGCACCAGCTCGGGATGGGCACAAATGCTCTTTGGCCACCGCCCCGGGGGCTTCCGCGCGTTCGTCTCTGGCCCAGCCTCCTCATCTCTTTCGGTAGAAATTCGGGGAGTGGGAGTCTTCTATCTCGAATGGCCTTCTTCAGCCTATCCCGCCATCGTGCCTCGGCTGTTGAGATTCCCCTCTGGAGACTCTTGGAAAGGGTTTTGTGGGCTTATCGCTTGCTTCTTGGGGGTCTCTTGAGGCGTCTTGAGGGCATCCTGGCGGCCTCCTGGAGCGTCTTGGGGGGACCGTCTTAATTCCGTATTCAGTTTCGAGTAGCGTCTGGCAATCAATGGGGTAGCGCCGATTTGTGTCAGTTAGTGTCGGTCGAATACAGTCGATTCGCGTCGATTAGCGACGATTGCCGTCGGCCGAACACGTCTTGGTACAATCGAAATGGATGGGTACGGAAAGTATGGGTACGAAGACCGACAGAAGATTTGGATCATGCGATCAGAATTTGCTGTTGGTGCCGCCGCGCTTGATGGTCATGTGAGACAGAAGGCCACCTGCCCAACAGCGGCCGCTGTCGGTTTTGGACAACATGTGCTGATGTACATCGTACCCATTTTTTCCGTACCCAGTTCGGGCGCCAAAGCGTCCGTCGCAGGGCAAAGACGGCTCTTGCAATTCAATTCAAAAGCTCCCCCAGGGGCTCACACGTGTTTTAAAAGGGGGTATGATTGCGCCTCACATTAGGTTGTTGTCCCCTGGGCTACCACAACAACGGCTCCCGCCTGTTACTTCGCCGCAGTTGCAATCAAAATCGCGCTCTCGCGCGGGACCTCACAATTTTTGCAGGCACCCTCGCGCGGTAGTCAGACGTCGCGCCCTCGACACTCAGGAATCACGGTCTCGGTTTGGCCTTTCTTGACGATTTATTTGTGAATCGCGTTATCGCTTGAGACTTTCCCGATTCATGCAGGACTCACGCTTCAGCAACCCGCGTGATCGACCCGGCCGCCTTCCCAGCCCGGAGGGTCTACCCGCCCGATCCGCTTGCTTGGTTCTGCCACGTGTTGTTTGCTCTTGCCCCCCCCCTGCGCAAATTGTTCTCGTGTCCTTCTCCTCCGTCATTGCCCCTTCCTTCCATCCGTCCGCTCCCCTTTGTTCACGGGCTGCGGCACATACACGAGGCAGGTAAAGAAAGATATGCCCCCAAGGGGGTACGAACGAAGACGACGAGGGTGGGAATCGAGGCTTCGGGACACACGTGCTGAGTATGTGCTTTGGAGGCTATTTCGCCTCAAAAGCTAAATTCAAACAACTCTCTAGTAATATTCTGATTCAACTCTGAGTCAACTCTTGCCCGAAACTCCTTGTTTCATTTCAGATGTATGGGGAACTCTGATTTCACGCTGGTCTGAACTCTGATTTAACTTTTTCCGGCCTTGTCCCAAGCCAGAGCTAAGTCAGAGTTCCAGACCAGCTACATTAGAGTTTCAGCTAAACCCGAGAGATGAATCAGAATTTAAGGCCAGAGCCGGATCAGAGTTGCAGCTAAACCAGAGAAGAGTTTCAGGCCCGAGCCAAAACAGAGCTGAATCAGAGTACCATCAGAGGTCCCAGGGCGGAGGGCACGCGGCGCGCTGCGCAAGTGCGCTTGTCCTCTCTCCTTGCCCATCATCCCTCCTCCCCTCGCTCTCATTCCTACCTCGTCTATCCCCTCCCTCCTTCCTCCGCTTCCCTCTCCCTCCCTTTCCGTCCTCCCCATTCGCGTCCTTCTTCCCCCCTCCCCACTCCCCTCCTCCTCAGTTTGTCTCCTCCCTCCTCCCCTTATCCCCGCCCATATCCTCCAGACCTTCCCTCCTCCTCCTCCTCCTCTTCCTCCTCTTCCTCCCCCCTTGGCCTCACTAATCTCGTTTTCTCCTCCTTTGGTCGCCGTCGCCCTCCACGTGCTGTCCCTCCCTTGCCCTCGGCCCCCATTCCTCCCTTCGTCCTTTTGTTCCTCCTCCTCATCCTCCCCCTCCCCCTCCTCCGTGTCGAGCCTCAGTCTTCGCTCCTCGGCCTCAGTGTCCCGCCCTCGTTCTCGCCCTCGCTTCCCCCTTCGCTCCAGGCCCCGTTCCCGGCCTCGTCTCCGCCCTCGCCCCCGCGCCCGCCCTCGCCCCCACCCGAGGCCATTTTCACTTCAGCCCTCTTTCTCGCTTTCGCCTTCGATCCCGTCCTTGCTCTCACCGCCGTTCCCGCCCTCGTTCCAGCCTTCGTTCCCGCCCTCGTTTTCGCATTCGCCCCCGCCGTCGCTCCCACCCTCGTTCCCGCCGTCGCCCCTGCCCTCGTTATCGCCCTCGTTCCCGCCCCCGTTCCCGCCCTCGTTCTCGCCCTCGTTCTCGCCCTCGTTCCCGCCTTCGTTCCCACCGTCGTTCCCGCCCTCGTTTTCGTTGGCCCATCAACGTCCTTGGGTCCCGCAGGGGTCCTGGGGTGTTTGTGGGCGGTCACAAATTCGTGCGCTGGCGCGTTCGCCGGCCGCGCCCGCGCTCTGTAGCGCGGCCCGCCGCCACACGTCGCGCGAGTCGGCAGCGCCGCCGACAGAAGCGGCCGCGGGGCGCGCGCCCGCACACGGCTAAGCCCTCCTCGCAGCGCCGAGCGTCGCGGTGCGGCGCTGCGGGGAGGTTGCTTCTTTTTTTTTGCGTACTTGGACATGCACGCATTGGAGCGCGACGCCGCTATTTCGGCCCATGTTGCCGAGTCGTCGGGCGACGAAACGTGAGCGCTGCCCGTTCGGCTTCACGCACAACGCGGCCCGCTGGCGATGGGGCGTTCTGGCGCGCCGCGTGTGCGCCGCACGCAGCTCCAGGGTGCCTGCTGGCGATGGGGCTTCTTGCGCCCTGGCGCTCCGTGCGGCATCCAGGCCAGGCTCGCCGCGCGGCGCGGCCTGGCCAGGGGAGACCGCAGGGGGGCGCCGACACCCGTCGACGTGGGTGCA